GAGGGAGAGGGAGAGGGAGAGGGAGAGGGAGAGGGAGAGGAGAGGGAGAGGGAGAGGGAGAGGGAGAGGAGAGAGAGGGAGGGAGAGGGAGGGAGAGAGAGGGAGAGAATCTTTATTGACAGACTCTTAGGTCCAGATAAAATATATATAAAACAACAGATCATCCAAAAAAAAAAACAATTAATGAAACAAAATAGATAAATAGAAATAAAAAGATAACAGCATAAAATTGAATAAAAATCTAAATGTAATTTAAAAACTTACTTTAATCTGTTCGTTCCACACAAGATTAACCACACAAACACTTCAACCAGTGTTTCCTTATACTGGACAAATAGCGACAACTGCTCACAGTAGGATCAGTGATTGCTAAAATTATACTGTTACTAATATCAGGATCTTGATTTTTTCTTAGATGAAAGTCAGAAATGTTTTTGTTTCTGCTTCTTTAATCGTCTACTCTTAAGAGATTTGTTTTTGTTTAGAAAAATCACCATTTTGCTTTTATCGTTAGGCTGTAAATTAAAATAAATATATAAATAAAGCTTTTGAAAAAGGGGTATGGGTGGCATTTTGGTGTCATTTGATGCAATTATTCTATAAAAAATGCATTTTTATTAAATCTCTGTTTAAAAACACGAGTTAGTTATTATCACGTTTAGCCAAGGTATTAAGTCATTGTGGAAGGTCCAAAGAGCCACTTGTGGCCCCAGAACTGCAGGTTGCAGCCCCCCGAGGTAACTTACTCACTTTTTTCTTTCATGTTTGCATTTGATGTTTTCTCAGGAAGTGTTGCTTTTCCCGGCCATGAAGCCTGATGACAATATGAAATCCGCTCCTTCAGAGGACACTTCTGCCTAAAACCATGACTTTTGACCCCTCCTCTTCTCCTGTTTGATCTCTGTATTTGTCTGCGTAATGAAGGTTTTTCATCTGTGCCCGTTTCTTGATTTATTTTAGTGTGTGAAATGTTTTCTGTCATGTGGGAAATCATCTCATCTGTTACTTGGTTAAACTGCAACTGGTTTAACAGAAGTTTAATCCCGTCACGTGTTCAGAAAACTGTTTTTGGATCAGATAGTCGTTGATCTACGATAAAAAACCTGGGTATTCTTTGAGATACCAAGGGAGTTTTTTATTCTGTATGCCAAAAACACAACATCATACACACACCCTATAAATAAATACAGGTCTGTATGCCGGTTTTTAAAGTCTGATTCTACTAGTTAGACACTTAAAAGCTGGTAAAGGTCATATGTCTGTGGTCTTTTAAATGGTAAGAGCTGGTTTTTATGGAAAAGAAAAGGGTATGCCACCATTAAACCTTAAAAGTGGGAGATGATGTGTTTGTGCTTGTTTTTGTTCACTTCCAAGAGATTATGCAGCTACCTGACTGCTCTTCGTACATCATTAGTTCTTTAGAGGAGTTCCTTTAGTCAAACCCAGAAAATCAATAAACCAAAATGATCCAACCTCTGTTCATAACTTTCATTATGCAGAAAAATGTTTCTCAGTTGATTTTATGTTTGTGCTCATTAAAGTGTTTTTTATTTCAGGTTTTTGGGCTACTGTCTAATATAAACCAATATGGAAGCCCATTTATGTCACTTTGCTTAAAAAGATTCTGGGACATCATTTATAAAGCTTGTTTACGCACAAAATGGAGTCTGATAACAACGTGACTTTCCACGCAAACTAAATTATAAAGAAAAATGTTGATGGAAAAATATGCGCAACTTGAAGCAAACTTTGGACCTGGTGCAAGAACATTCTTGAGACAGGGAGACTAGCAGCACAGTAAGAGATGGTAAAATATTTAAGAAACATTTTCAGATTTACACTCATGCAAAAACAGCCCCGTAAAGTACCGCCGGTTAGCGGGTTTTTGTTTCTGCAGAAGACTCATAACGAGGTTTGCGTTGACTACTTAGTGAAAGTTTGTGTGGAAGGCAGCATGTGATCCTGAAACAGCGCATTTCTGGGATGGGTTGGAAAAAAAAATTGCACAACTATGTTTTGCTAAGCTTAAGTGGTGTTTTACTAAGGATTCTATGTAAAGTTAAAAAACGAGACCCCTGGTCCTTGTGGCCCACTATCCAGCTCGTTTTTATTGTTTTCCTTCATGAACACCTGACTCAACAGCTGCATTACCTGTTGGCAGCTCAATAAGCTCTGCTGAAGCCTGTTAATAACATACTGATCAAGTGTGTTGAAGCAGAAAAAACTAAACATGTAGGATGGTGGCCCTTGAGGATCGGTGTTCCATATTGTAGCTTGGTATGTCAAAAGTCATAATGGATTAATAAGGAGGCGTTAGGTGATGTGGTGTACTGTGGACTCCCTGAAGTTGGCCAAAGATTTGAAAAAATGGGTAAGACCTCAAAACAAATGCACGTGTGATGGTGTTTACATCAGTGTGATAAAAGTGTGCATGTGTGTGTTGCAGATGAGTTTGGTGCCTTAGAAAGCGTGACAGCTGCCAGTGAGCTGTACTCCCCGCTGACTGGAGAAGTGACTCAAATCAACGCAGAGCTGGCAGAAAACCCAGGACTTGTGGACAAATCCTGTTATTCAGACGGTGAGATTAATAATAATAAAAGAACTTTCTCTACGTTAAGTCAAGCTGTTGTTTGACAGGTCGCCAGACCAGTTTCTCTTCGCCGTTTGTTATCTAAATTCAAATGTTTCCCTTTAAAAGATCTTAATTGTTGTGTTCTCAGGCTAGCTGATCAAGATGACCAGTGAAAGGCCCGAAGAGCTCGACGAACTCATGGATCAAACTGCTCATGATAAACTTATTAAATCATTGGGATGGTTTGTGTAATTGTGGTCAAAGATTAGACAGAGTTCCTAACTAGAGGTCAACCGACAACCTTTTTTTTATTGCCCATGCTGATGTGTAAAGGTCATCGTGGTCAACCGATGGCCGATTTGTGCTGCCGGCGTTTTGGGCCAATTTTCATGGCCGGTAGACCAGACGTTTTCTACCTCATTTTCGTGCTAAAAATGTCACCAATAACATCAGTTGATGCAAAAAATTTCAGGAGCCGAATGGGTCTTTTAACACTGAATTTAACCAGCTGTTGAATCTTAATGTTGTACCCTGCTCAGTGTTAAAGTAAGACATCTAACTAACGTTAATCAAGCAAATCAGTAAGCTGGCTGTATTAAATATTCAAAACTGACAAAAATAAATTTTATTTGGAAATCTTTTTTGGAGTATTTATTAAAGCAGATGTTATTCAGGAACGTAAAACAACACCTAATTACACTCTGGCTGCCCCAGGATGTGCTTGACTTTAAATCAGCATTACTAAGGTAATTGTTGCCCGTTATAGTATACATGCAGAATTGGGTTGGATTGTAAAGAATTGTGGAAATTTAAAAGAACTGTTGGTTTGCTGTTCACAGATCTGCTGTTCCACATTTGCTGACTGGGCTTATAAAGCGTTTTTGTGCTTGCGTATATTAGCTCTGCACACCTTGACTTTTCCCCCTCAGTAGGAAATAGGCTGAGAGTGCTGATGTTGGTAAATGATTATTCAAACTGTGGTTTTACAGTTAGGCACCAAAAAGTTGTACTTGGTAGTTGAAATGTCTTTGTGACAAAATGTTTCTAAAAGAAAACAAATATTCCATTAAATGTCAACATATTTTTAATGTTAATGATTTTTCTGATCAGCTTGCTTATGTAAGAAAGATGCAAGTGAGCTAAAGGAGATTTTCCTTCCTGAAAGGCCTTAAAGCTGGAGGCTAAATAAAATATGTGCTGTGTAGATGAAAAATTGCAGTATTTATAGTGATATTCTGCTCAGAATTTATGTTCCAAATTGTCATATTTCTTATATGATCCAATTGCTAATGCCAAAATGCCATAGTGTTTTATTTTGAAAGAATTCACAGGAAACTAATATAAATAAAATATATTTATTATTATTTAAAATAAATTATAAATTAACACCCCCCCCCCCACACACACACACACACACACACACACACACACAATCTTCCCCTTAATATACAGCATGGCAAACGTTTACAAAGTTCTTGGAGTGAGATTGTCTTTAATGAAATTAAAGATTTTTATTTCTCTCTCTCTCTCTCTCTGTGTGTGTGTGTGTGTGTGTGTGTGTGTGTGTGTGTGTGTGTGTGTGTGTGTGTGTGTGTGGAGAAGGGCATTAGTTTTGGTAAAATTACATATTAGTCTGGCAGAAAATAACAAAGTGATGTTAAGGCAGGTTTATTTTCAGAGGCACTATGAATGCTGTAGTTTGTGATGTAAAAACCCTCAATATTAGTTAATTATGAGTAAAAATATGTCAGAGAAATTGATACAATTTTGAAAAAAAAAATTTTTTACATACTTAAATTCTACTTTTATTTTAACTTTAGAACAGTCACATTGTCTATTAAGTTAGAAAGCATATGGGTAGAAATTTGTACAGAAAATATAATTTATCTTCAATCTTGTCCTTTAAACCACATGATTATAATACTGCATAAATTTTTCATTTATCTGATTGAATAAGTTTATCAAATTAAATCAGCTGATGTTGCTTAAACATGTACTATTTTTCACTAGATTTTTCACCAAATAGTTTTTTTATTTGTATTTATTTATCATTATTATTATTATCCATCCATCCATTTTCATCCTCTTATCCAGAGTCGGGTCACGGGGGCAGTAGCCTACGGCGAGAGGCCCAGACTTCCCTCTCCCCAACCACTTGGGCCAGCTCCTCCAGGGGAATCCCAAGGTGTTCCCTGGCCAGGTGAGAGACATAGTCCCTCCATCGTGTCCTGGGTCTACCTTTAGGACTCCTCCCTGTTGGACATGTCCGGAAAACCTCACCAGGGAGGTGTCCAGGAGGCATCCTGACCAGATGCCTGAGCCACCTCAACTGGCTCCTCTCGATGTGGAGGAGCAGCAGGTCTACTCCGAGCCCCTCCCGGATGACTGAGCTTCTCACCCTATCTCTAAGGGAGAGCCCAGCCACAAAACAACGCTGACAAGGACAATGAACCAACAAAGCCCTGAGATGCAGACAGAATTATATACACAGTGATTGGGAGATGAGGAGCAGGTGCATGGTGAGAGAGAACTGATGGGAGACTGGTGAAATCAATTAACTAAATGAGAAGGGAAAACCAAGCAGAACCTAAAAATCTCTAAATAAATAATAAACCTAAAAGACTAAGGGCACAGGAGAACCAAGAATAAATAACTAATGACCTGAGGAGTAAGGGAGACTAATTAACAAGTGAGGAAAGAAACACACACTAAAGGGGACTAATAACATGAAAAGCTGAACCTATAGAAAGCTACAGAGGGGTGACTAGGGGAGACCTGAGGGAGACTGGGAGGGAGCTAGGGACAAAAAGGGGCACAGAAACCTAAGGGGAGAACCTAGAGTGGAGCTGGGGAACTCAAGGAGACACAAGGGGAACCTAGAGGGGGGCTGGAGAACACATGAGGGGGACGCAGGATGCAGACCATGACTATGAGTGTTTATTAGATACAGCTGGGTATTTATAGGTCTTTGAAATAATAACTAATAGTTTTCTATCTGGCCTGTTTGATTATACAAGCTACAAACGTATGCTGGTAATTTTTAACAATGTATTTATTTTTTATTTTACCTGTTAAAAACTTAATATTTATTAAGAGTAAATTCCCTTTGAGTCTACCGTGGATTTAGTTTCACCCTTTGTCCGCTAGAGGGCGTATGATCTGATATGTTTGCGGTGTTGTAGCTGGTTGCTAATAGTATGGGGCAAAAATGGCTAAGGCAAGATCAGAAGAGGAAGACAAATTAATTGTTCAAATTTCATCAATATATCAACTGCCACCAGATGAAGTCTCAGAGGAGGATAAATTGCAACTTAGGACCCTTCATTCTAAACTTGACGAGCTTTATCGCCAGAAAGCTGAAGGTGCTTTTGTTCGTTCAAGAAAAAAATGGATAGAGGAAGGAGAACAGAACTCTGCTTATTTTTTCCGTTTAGAAAAATCTAGATCTAAATCCAATACCATCCATCAGTTGAACATTAATGGTATGATCACTAATGATGCCAAAACCCTCTCTCAATTTTGCTGTAAATTTTACTCAAAGTTGTATGAATCAAAATATAAGGCAAATGTTGCTACTCAGTTCATCGACTCTGTAAATAATATAAGAGTAATTAAAACTGCAGATAGGCTTTATTGTGACAGTTCGTTCACTGAAAAAGAGATACTGGACTCCATTAATCTTCTTAAGAACAACAAGTCTCCAGGCACAGATGGCTTGGTAGCAGAATTTTATAAAATGTTCTCTTCCCAGTTAGCACCATTTCTGTTACAGGTTTATAACGAAAGCATTGAAAAGGGCACTCTTCCACCCACCCTCACACAAGGACTCATTACTCTAATTCCTAAACCTAAGAAGGACTTACTTTCCATAGATAATTGGAGGCCAGTAAGCCTCCTAAATAATGATTATAAAATTCTAGCTCTATTGCTGGCCAGGAGAATTAAAGATGTTTTGGATGATGTTATAGATGAGACACAATCGGGATTTATGACAAAAAGGCACATCTCCAATAATATTAGACTCGTCTTAGATATCCTGGACTACTCTGACCTAATCCTTGATGATTCATTTATCCTTTTCCTTGACTTCTACAAAGCTTTTGACTCTATTGAGCATGAATTTATATTTCTCTCACTCAGGAAATTTGGCTTAGGTGATTTCTTCTGCAACGCCATCAAAACTTCATACTCTGGCGCAAATAGCTCTATCAGAATGAAAAATGGCACCACATCTCGTTTTTGCCTGAATCGAGGTGTACGCCAAGGGTGCCCCATCAGCCCTTATCTTTTTCTACTTTGTACCCAAATTCTCGCCTCTTATATTGCTAATAGTCCTATGAAAGGTATAAACATAGCAGACAGAGAGGTTGTCATCAGCCAACTGGCAGATGATACCACAATTTTTCTTAAAAATGCTAATCAGGTGTCAATTGCCCTGAAAATTTTAGATGACTTCTCAAAAGCTTCTGGATTAATATTAAATTTAAACAAATGTCAGTTATTACCTATCAACAATTGTAATGATCATAGTATTTGTAATATAGCTATTCAACACGAAGTAACATATTTAGGCTTGATTATCTGTAAAGATCAAAAAACCAGAATTACCTCTAATTTCTCTCCAATAATTAAAAAAACTCAATCTAAGTTAAATCAGTGGTTACAAAGAGATTTAAGTGTAAGAGGACGAGTGTTGCTCTCCAAAGCAGAAGGTTTGTCTCGCCTGACTTATGCTGCCATATCTCTGCATGTGGACAACACAACTTGTGGGGAAATTGACCGAATGCTCTTCAACTTCTTGTGGAAAAACAAAACACATTATATTAGAAAGAGTGTAATAATGAATGACTATCAACATGGAGGACTCAATATCTTGGACTTCACTACCTTAAACAACACATTTAAAATTAACTGGGCAAAACATTTTCTTAAAAATCCTGTCTCCATTTGGAATTTTATTCCTCACTATATCTTCTCTAAATTTGGTGGTCTAACTTTTATCCTGGGTTGTGACTACAATGTAGGAAAGCTTCCAGAAAAACTTTCAATGTTTCACAAACAAGTTCTATTAGCCTGGTCACTGATTTATAAAAATAATTTTACTCCCCATACATACTTGATCTGGAATAACAGGAACATAGTGTATAAAAATAAGTCATTGTTTTTCTCTAATTGGGTTGAGAAACAGATCATTTTTGTGAATCAGTTGTATAATACTAATGGACAGCTTATGTCTTAAACAGAACCCCTAAACACATATAAATTTCCGGCAACTTCCAAAGAATATGCCATACTGTTTGCTGCAATACCTATGGGTGTTAGAATGCTTTTTAAAGGTGTTCTACCAGTTGTACCACCTATTTCTCTTCCCGACCCTGTGAACACATACGTAGGAAAAGTTTGTCTTATCGAGCATAAAAACAGTAATAGGAATATTCGTGCTTTATTTCAGAGAGAATCCGTATCTGTTCCATATGTGATTTTTTTATTGGAATTCCTTTGTCACTGACATCAGTTGGGAAAGAGTATGGACCATTCCTAATAAGTATTTTGTGACAAATAAGGTCAAAGAAGTTTCATTCAAAATACTTCATAAGTGTTACCCAGCTAATCACTATATGACAAAGTTTAAGAGGGACATTGATGTGAATTGCTGTTTTTGTGGAAGCCACCCTGAGACCGTTCAGCACCTCTTCTGGATCTGTTCACATGCTACAACGTTTTGGAAAGACTTTAGCAGATTTATTATCGGACAGCTCTGCAAGGACTTTGTTTTAAAATGGGAAAATGTTGTATTTTGTTTTTTTTCGCAAGCACAGAAAGGCAGATGTATACTTTGTTATAAATTTGTTAATTATTCTAGCTAAATTCTATCTCCACAAATGCAAATATAGTAACCAAAAACCTAATTTCAAGCACTATTATAGTGACACTCTATCTTACATAAAATTGATTAGTGGATCACTAAACAAAAAAGCTTTAAAAACTGTATCTATTTGCACCACCTATAGGTTATTTGGTTGTGTGTAACATTTCTGTAGTACACCCCCTGGCATATGTTTCATGTTTGTTTAATTTTGTATGCAATTTGATTGTATACTTTCACCTTGTTCAATAAAGTTTTGAAAAAAAAAGCTGGTTGCTAATAGGTCCTGTACAGATAATTACAATATATCTTATGAGTTTTAGTAGTTAAGCAGTTTGTATGAATGAAGACGTTCTGGCTTTTCTTTTATTGACAATAATTTAAAACCCGTAGTGATTTTTAAGTTGTAAGTTTTATTTTGAAGAAAATATAGAAAGTGCTGATGAGTTGTGTCTTATTTAGCCATATAAACGTTGCCTGTAGTAACTAGCTTTGTCCACTAGAGGGCATACAAACATGAAAACCAGGCACTACGTCTTTCCATCGAGTTCACGTTATACCAAATCCCGTAGACTGAGTACGAGGCCATTAATCAAATTAAATAACAGATTACAATTAGTTACATGAAGTTTATTTAGAAAAAACTTAAAAAAAACATTTCCGAGTTTTTCCAAGCAAATCTGAAAATATGTGACAGTCGAAACAAGCATAGATAATTATTTTTAATTTAAATTGAAGTACATGTGTGATTCAGGGCGTAAGGCAAAATAAGTTTTATAGCCCCATTCACTTACTTTTTCCTTTTTTTTTTTTTTGGGTTCAAGGGAGGGACCCATGAGTTGACCAGAAGTGGAGGACATGTTTGCGTATCGGTGTTCTGGATGGCCAGTCTACCACACACCACTGTTACATAAATATTATGTAAGATGTGTCTTTAGCTACATGAAAAGAGAAAAGAACCTGTTAGCGAGACCCTGTTGCTAACGCCAGTGTATTATTTTATTTTCAAAAGAACTACAGGGAGTGTTTCTACTAACTATTGTAACTTTAAAAGTGCAGTTGCCTATTCTCCTTCTCCTTCTTTACCTTAATATTCACAAAAAAGCAAAAAACAGTAAGACCCCCCCACCCAACCCCCTCCCCTTCATTGAAATAAAGTGGGTAAAATGTTCCTAGGGAAAGACAGTATCAGAGTTTAGTCATAGCCAGACCCTTTGAGATCTCTTTCTATGGCTTTGGTTATAGCTTTTTGGTCGGCGGGGGGTGGGGGGGGGGGGGGGGCTCCCCTTCTCTCTTAACATCCCTTCCTGAATACTTGACAACTTTTTCATATTTTTAAATAGTTTTCTAGAGCCAGCGAGCGCTACAATGACTCTTTATGGGGTTAATGAAAGGCCTCCGAGCCGGGCCCCATCACCCCTTGTGACCGGAATATTCCACTTGCAACTTCTGTTGGGACTTGGAAAAAATTGAACTGACATACCTGGTGCTGCTGTCTGGTTCCAGCACACTTCCTGCATGTTTTATATCATGAAGACAGCTGATTTGTTTATTTAGTGACGAATCATTCCTCTAGACATGTAACGCTTGTATCTTCTTGACCACATACAAGAAAGATGTTGATACAGCCTGCACCGTTTGCAACTCGGACCATGAGACTGTTTCCCACTTATTCTGGTCATGTACATTCACACATGAACTGTGGAAGAATCTTTGTGAAAGAAAAAAAATCAGCCTTTCTTCCAGCTTCAGTTTAAAACGGTACTGTTTGGATGTACGAAGTCTGGAAAGTAATATGAATTTGCCTTTGTAATTAATTTGTTGTTGCTTCGGACTAAGTTTTATGTTCACATATGCAAAGTATTGAAAACCCAGCCTTTGTTTTGCATTTTCAAAAATGAAATTAAGCTATATTTGCACACATTGTCTACCTCACAAAATCTAAAAGCTGGTAAAACATTGAAAATATGTTCTGACTATAACATTCAGATGACTGCTCTGACCTGCACAAATTTAATTATTTTTTCTGTAAGTATCCCGATTAAGTTATTAAATATTGTGTTCTGTACACTGACAAACCTCTGGCACTTTTTGTAAAATTATACTAATTTCTTATGTTCCTATTTGTCTCTTGCTTGTTTGTCCTCCTTGTAATGTTGCAAGTTGGAAATCAAGTTTGGGCAAAAAAGAAAAAAGAAAAAAAAAAAAGAACCAGTTTGTTGTTCCAGCTTGTCGCCACTGGAGGGCGCCAGTGCTCCTCCTCGTTTGTGTAAAGTCAATATTAAAAATTCTGAGTTTAGTAGCCTGTAAACTAGTGCGAGCCAATTTGTTGCTCAAATAGATTCACTTTTGTCTTCAGCTTGAGAAATCGGAAGTGTGGCGTCCAAAATCGAAACGTAAATATTGTACCCACATGATTTTACGGTGGAGTGAAGACTCCCTCGTAACATTTACTCTTTGATAAAATAATCTGCTCGTTCATTGGCTGGTTCTCACATATCCCACAATCCACCACTCACAACTTCCTTTTTCCTTTCGGCCATTTTCCTTCCTTGTAGGTATGAGAAAATATCCTGCTAAAGTTGTTAACGATCTACTTCAATCCTGGGGTTTTAAAATATGTTTTCCTTATTAAATCGCATCATAAAATAGTGTGTGTTCCAGACTTTAAAATAAGATAAATATTGTGTAGTTTTGGCTGCGTAATGGCGTGTTTCAGTTGAGATGCTGGATTAAGTGCTGACAGTTAGCATTGCCATTATAATTTAGTCTTTTGGTTGCAAATTTCATCAGTGTCCTGTAAAATTAACATGAATTCAAACAACCAATGTATAAATGATAAGAGTTAGGTGTCTGGAACGCCATAGGCAAGGGGTGACTAACGTTCGCTTATGTAGTTTCTTATGAATTGCTTGCCGGCATGTTTCGTGTTCGTTCATGTCCATTTCACTCGGTGTGTTGCAGGGAATTAGGCAGCCATGGCCCCAAGCCGGAATGGAATGATTTTGAACCCTCATTTCCACAAAGACTGGCAGAAAAGAGTGCGCACCTGGTTCAACCAACCGGCCAGGAAGGAACGCAGGTGAGAGTCGTGCTACGGTCAGATGCTAAGTGGGCTAACAGTGCTTCGTAAATGTGCTGCAGACATTGATCGTTTCAGTTATTATGAACTACTTAGCTTCTTCATTGACACGTTATGTTTGGGTAAAGTAAAAGGCTAGTTGAGGTAATTTATTCTGCTAATCTTTAATTTACACCATTATGTGATACAGCGTCACTAAGAAACGTCAGATGTTGTTAGTGGAAAACGTGTCCCCTTTTCTAAAATGGGTTAAAGTGCATCCCATTTATGAGAAGTAATATGTGGCGGACTTATTTAGCTGCTTTATAAACCAAACAGGACTTTAACGTTGAACTGATTGTTATTTATATTCATTGCAGCACTTCTAACAAATGTTCAAAAATCTCTGCTGTGACGTCTTGATAAAATGCTTTAGACTTGTCAAATGTTTTAAAGTAAGTTGATTTTTGATGACAAATCCCCATCAATGAAACAAAGCTTTTCTCTTTTACAAACAAGATGCTGACGTCCCGCCTGAGCTTTAACCCTTAACCGCTCGTCATAAATGCTGTTTTTCAAGCACATAATTTGTATCTTTCCCTCTCAAGGCGAAAGGCTCGGCAAGCCAAGGCCCGCCGTATAGCTCCTCGTCCTGTTGCCGGACCACTGCGGCCACAGGTCAGGTGTCCCACAGTCAGGTACCACACCAAGGTTCGCGCCGGGCGTGGTTTCACTCTGGAGGAACTCAAGGTAATATTTTAAATCATTTGTCCACTTAGATTTAATCTCCTTTTAATTACAGCACAGTGAAAAAAGTTTGAGCGATGGTGACAAAGGAGTTAAGTCCCAACCAGAATGTTGCAGGCTCAAGCCCTGCTCAGTTTGTTTCATTCGTTGTTGGGCATGAAACCTCTCCCGCTGCGCCTGCTGCTGCTGGTCAGAAGCCTCACCTCCGTCAGCTGCTCCAGGGCAGCTGTGGACTCATTGTAGCTCCTCACCAGCGTGTGAATGTGTGTTTGCGCGTGGGTGAATGAATGGTCGTGTTGCAAAGTGCCTTGGGCAGTTGTAGAACCCTAGAAGGCGCTATATAAAATCAGACCATTTAGTATCATTCATTTACAGATTATTTTTGATTTTGATAAAGTCTTTTAATTCAATTTAAAATGATTTATAATTTTTGAGCTTGAAACTTTGGTTACGATGTATTCAATCAGTGTTTTTAAGTTTTTTTCTAATGGAGAGAAAAAAATCCATTAAAATTCAAAATGTAGATTGTTGTAGTTTAAACTTGTTTTCTGGAGTAGTAGTTACCCTAAAATCCAGGTGTTAATAACTTTTTAATCACTCATTCGTCTAAGTCGGGTGTGTGGCAGCAGGGAAACACTTGTTTAGAGAACCCACTAAAAGTTGCTGGGTACCGACCCTTAAGACCTGGGATTGAATAGCCCTGACCTAAAGTATCGGATCAGGACTCTTATCAACAGATACTCAGTCAAATATTGGTCAAGCAAAAAAAATGTAATTTAAACATCCCTACCTAATACCAAATTAATAAAAAAAACTTTTTCAGATCTAATTATACACATAAATGTTACATTTAATCACAAATTGAAATAAGTTTTCCAAGGTCAAGTAGTAGCTGTCAATGCAGCTCAGAATACAAACTTTACCCAAATTATTATTGTGAACAAAAGTTGCTGCATGTGCAACCATATTCTGTTTAATACCAAACTCCAGTTTTATTGACACATTTATCCCTTAGATGTGTTAATATCCTAAAACATGAGCCAGTCAACACTAGAGCTGAGGAAAATAAATAAATAATCGATACATCAGGATGCGGACATAAACGATTCTGCATCGTAGAAGGGTACGCCATAATCGATTATAGTGGAATGTAGTTTTGTTTTTTTAACGGCGGCACCAGCGCACCATCCAAATCTGTCAGAGTGAGCGTCCTCCACATTTACCTCCGCCTTAATGTGGTACTGCAGGGCTTAGTGCTGGAGTTGTCACCTGAGACCAAACCGGAACCGAATCAGCCCGACCGATTCTGTTGGATTTGGGCCGTGAATTATGTTTATTGAGCGGGTTGTCACGCGGCGCGCTCCGCTCGCTCAATCAGCGACTGAGAGAGAGAGAGACACACTGTCTGCTCACACAAGAGAGAGGATCGGAGGACGCTCCTCCAAACCGATGCTCCAAACACGCGTTATTATTTTCATAATTTAATTATTATTTCTCCTGGACGCGCTCAGTCAGACTGCTTGTTGTAATGTAGGGAGATCCGGTCTTGGGGAGGGGGCGGGGTCAATGACGGTGGCTGCAGCGTGATCATCTGTCTCTTACTTAGGGACACGGAGAAGTTAAAAGGAGAGAGAAATAGAAGATAGAAGTTCTTGTTCAACTTTATTCTTTTGTTTCATGATGATAAACTGATGTTGAATTCAGCTTAAAGAGAAGCTGGGAGGAAGCTTTGGTTCATTTTAAGTTACAGGAGATCTTGTCTCCTATCTGCTCCTCCAGAGACAGCATGGACATGAAGGTTACATGGTGAGGGTCCCACAGGACAGGTTAGTGGAAAGGTTTGTAGTTAGCTGGTTAGTGAAGGAGATCCATCAGCTGGGTAATTTAATCCTAATCCAGGCCACAGCCTTCTGCTGGTGTTATCAGAAAGAATAAAACACACATCTTAAATATTATTGGAAGTGTAGAATTAGTTTTATGTTTTATTGTTTTCTGCATCAAACAGAACTTGATTCATTCTCCAACATTTCAGAAACGAACCACTGGGTTCAAATAAAATAATAAACTAAGTCAAACATTTCATTTGGTGTTATTTCTGACAGCCTTCAACTGTGGCATACATATTTGACTCTAGAGCTGCTCAGAGACATTAAACATTCATATATGGACCCATTATGTATTTTATTATTACATTATGTGTCCTGTAGGTTTTCAGTACCTTTTTTAGATTTTGTGAGTTTTTGCAAAGCGTGTTTTTCTCAGCCTGATGCGTGGTGTTGAACGAGGAAACAGATTGTTTTACTTTATTAAATCTTCTTAAATGTTTAAAATGTTTTGTCCTAACCTGTTGTGGATGGAGAGATTTTGAGGAATGGCAAGTTGTGTCAATTACGTTTTTGATAAAAATAAAAAAAAAAGCAATTATCTGACATCTTCTATTTATCGATGAAAACAAATCAATATGAAATAATCGTGATGCATCGGGATATCGAATTGAATCGTTGACCCAATAATCATAATCAAATCGGGAGACAAGTGAAGATTCACACCTCTAGTCAACACCAGCTTTAGTGTCGGTGTTCATATAAATGCTGTTCCTTTCTGGTCTGTCCAATATAATTCCAGACTGTGTGTTAGTATCTGGACCCATTAGGTTATCAGTGTTTTACATTGCTGCAGTCATCTCCCGAGGCTATATATTTGTTAGGAACGTTGAACCTTATTTTTATATGGTTGCGGTTTGAGTTGTCCTTGTTCTCAACAAGGTCTGCTCTGTCCTGCAGGCGGCCGGAATCCACAAGAAGACAGCCCGCACTATTGGCATCTCTGTTGACTCTCGTCGTCGCAACAGATCCACAGAGTCTCTTCAGGCTAATGTGCAGCGTCTGAAGGAGTACCGCTCCAAACTCATCCTGTTCCCCAGAAAGGCATCTGCACCCAAGAAGGGTGACAGCTCAGTAAGTTTGGCTTTTACCTCTTCACACATGGACTTGTTGGAAAATGCACAATATAGCAGCTGGAAAGGTAATTCACATCATGGCCCCTCTGTTTTAATTGCGTGAGATGGATGTAAAAATGTTCATCATCCTTTATGTAAACCAATGAGCACAAATAGCCATCTGATATAGTTATCAGTGTGGTTTTAGATCAGTCTGTATGCTCATCTGTGTGATTTACACAAGTGCAGATGTTGGCCATATGTTCTGATGAACTTTTTTTACTAGGGTGTTTTATTTATCTCTTAAAAAAAATTTCCTGATCTTGTTTCAGGAGGAGGAACTGAAGATGGCCACCCAGCTCTCTGGTCCCATCATGCCCATCAAAACTGTAAGTTCATGATCTTTAAGTTTCTGTAAAATTTACATTAAATATGTTGATTTCATACTTTAAATTTCATGCATTCATTATGTGTGCATGAATCTTTGGTACCACAGCAGTCAGATGATGACACATCTCCGGAATCTCTGCACTATGTTGATGAAAAATGTGAACCCTTTTTTCTGATGACTGTTAAAAAAACAAGGCTTGTTAATCAGAGTTGAAGCTTATTTCTGTCTAATGAGTTCTTTTCTTTGTTTTCAGGTACACAAGAAAGAGAAGGCCCGTGTTATCTCCGAGGATGAGAAGAACTTCAAGGCATTCGCCAGTCTGCGTATGGCCCGGGCCAATGCCCGTCTTTTTGGCATTCGTGCTAAGCGAGCCAAAGAGGCAGCTGAGCAGGACGTGGAGAAGAAGAAGTGAAAATGATCATTATGGAACTTTGCAAATAAAGTCTTTAAAAAAGAGCAAAGTGAGATTGATGTATTTTTGAACAAACTTCAGTTGTAATTGTGGAAAAAGTAGAAAAGAGTAATTGCAATGAGGTTCACAGGAACAAAGTTAATCAGGAATTAAATCTTTTATGTGGGCCTAAAGTAGAAGTGGTACCTCTTTTGATAATTTGTCATACAGCCAGGATGCAATTTGGTTGGGGGAACTTTCCTCTGCTTTTGATGTCCCTCCCTCTGGTGATTAAACTTTTATTCGTGGGTGGGATAAGTTTTTTTTTTCTTTTTGTAGGAAGATCGTTTATGACGTCCAGTACTGTGACTTTTCCAGGGTATGATACTACTGGTAGTTTTTCTGGTCATTAGTTGAAATCACCCAGATTTCTAAAACATCTGCCCGTCTCCAAGTAAATACCAGCCATCCACAGTCTCCCAGTGTGCTGTCCTGCCCATCCCGAATAGGCTGAGTTTGTGCATTAGGAAGCTGTAACCGTGCAGCTTCATCAGGGTCACACACAAACACTCCACACCAGCAGATTGTCTCAAGTCTGTTCAGTCTTGGATGCTCCTCGATCCACAGGTCCAACTTGAAAAATCCATGTTGAAAAAAACGTCTCCTGTCTGCTACCTGTACTGGTCCTAAAAAAATTAGCATATTGCGATAAAGTTCATTATTTTCAATAATGTACTGATAAACAAGATTTTCATATATATTAGATTCATTACACACAACTGAAGTAGTTCAAGCCTTAAATTGATGATTTTGGCATATGGCTCATGAAAACCTAAAATTCCTATCTCAAAAAATTAGCATATCATGAAAAAGTTCTCTAAATGAGCTATTAACTTAATCATCTCAGTCAACTAATTAACTCTAAACACCTGCAAAAGATTCCTGAGGCGTTTAAAACTCCCAGCCTGGTTCATTATTCAAAACCGCAATCATGGGTAAGATTGCCAACCTGCTGTCCCGAAGGCCATCATTGACACCTTCAAGCAAGAGGGTAAGAGAAATTTCTGAATGAATAGGCTGTTCCCAGAGTGCTGTTTCAAGGCACCTCAGGGGGAAGTCTGTGGGAAGGGACAAGTGTGACAGAAAACGTTGCACAACAAGAAGATGTGGCCGGACCCTGAGGAAGATTGTGGAGAAGGACCGATTCCAGACCTTGGGGGACCTGCGGATGCAGTGGATTGAGTCTGGAGTAGAAACATCCAGAGTCACCATGTACAGGCTTCGTCTTCCTCCGCTTATCCGGGTCGCAGGGGCAGCATCCCAACTAGGGAGCTCCAGACTGTCCTCTCCCCGGCCACCTCCACCAGCTCCTCCGGCAGGACCCCAAGGCGTTCCCGGACCAGACTGGAGATGTAACCCCTCCAACGTGTCCTGGGTCGACCCGGGGGCCTCCTGCCGGCAGGACATGCCCGAAACACCTTCCCAGGGAGGCGTCCAGTTGGTATCCTGACCAGATGCCCGAACCACCTCAACTGACTCCTTTCGATCCGGAGGAGCAGCGGTTCTACTCTGAGTCCCTCCCGAATGTCCGACCTCCTCACCCTATCTCCAAGGCTGAGCCCGGCCACCCTACGGAGGAAACTGATTTCGGCCGCTTGTATCCACGAACTTGTTCTTTCGGTCATTATCCAAAGCTCATGAGCATAGGTGGGGACTGGGACGTAGATCGACCTTTAAATCGAGAGCCTAGCTTTCTGGCTCAGCTCCCTCTTCACCACGACAGATCGGCTCACCGTCCGCATCACTGCAGATGCCGAACTAATCCACCTGTCGATCTCCCAATCCCTCCTACCCTCACTCGTGAACAAGACCCCGAGATACTTAAACTCCTCCACTTGAGGTAGGAACTCTCTCCCGACCCGGAGTTGACAAGCCACCCTTTTCCGGTCGAGAACCATGGTCTCAGATTTGGAGGTGCTGATCCTCATCCCAGCCGCTTTACACTCGGTCGCATACCTACCCAGCAAGAGCTGAATGTCAGAGCTGGATGAAGCTAGGAGGACCACATCATCCACAAAAAGCAGAGACGAGATTCTCCTGCCACCAAACTCGACACACTCCACACCACGGCTGCGCCTAGAAATTCTGTCCAGAAAGGTAATGAACAGAACCGGTGACAAAGGACAGCCCTGGCGGAGTCCAACCCTCACCGGGAACAGGTCCGACTTACTACCGGCTATGCGGACCAAACTCACGCTCCTCTGGTAAAGGGACTGAATGGCCCTAACAGAAAGCCACCCACCTCATACTCCTGGAGCGTCCCCCACAGGGTGCCCCTGGGGACACGGTCATAAGCCTTCTCCAAATCCACAAAACACATGTGGATTGGTTGGGCAAACTCCCATGCCCCCTCCATCACCATTGCAAGGGCATAGAGCTGGTTCACAGTTCCACGGCCAGGACGAAAACCACATTGCTCCTCCTCAATCTGAGATTCAACTATCGATCCGACCCTCCTCTCCAGTACCTTGGAGTAGACCTTTCCAGGGAGGCTGAGGAGTGTGATCCCCCTATAGTTGGAACACACCCTCAGGTCACTCTTCTTAAAGAAGGGGACCACCACCCTGGTCTGCCACTTCACAGGAACTGCCCCTGATGACCACGCAATGTTGCAGAGACGTGTCAACCACGACAGCCCTACAACATCCATAGCCTTGAGATACCCAGGACGAATCTCATCTGCCCCCGGTGCTCCGCTGCTGTGTAGTTGTTTGACTACCTCAGCAACTTCTGCCTCTGAGATTGGACAGTCCACCCCCGGGTCTCCCGGCTCTGGTTCCTCCTTGGAATGCACGTAGGTGGGATTGAGGAGCTCCTCAACGTATTCCTTCCACCGTCCGACTATAGCCCCAGTTGACGTCAGCAGCTCCCCATCCCCACTGTAAACAGTGTGAGCGAGTTGCTGCCCCCCTCTCCTGAGGCGCCGCACAGTTTGCCAGAACCTCTTTGGAGCCGATCGATAGTCTTTCTCCATGACCTCAACAAACTCCTCCCGAGATTTTGCCTTGGCAACTGCCACTGCTGCACCCCGCTTGGCTATCCGGTACCTGTCTGCTGCTTCCGGAGACCCACAGACCAGCCACGCCCTGTAGGCCTCCTTCTTCAGCCTGATGGCTCCCAGAACCACTGGTGTCCACCAGCGGGTACGGGGGTTGCCACCATGACTGGCACCGGCCACCTTGCGACCACAGCTAGCAACATCCGCCTCAACAATCGCAGAGTGGAACAAGGCCCACTCGGAGTCATTGTCCTCCACTGCTCTCGGGACGCGGTCAAAGCTCTGCCGGAGGTGGGAGTTGAAGACCGTCTTCACAGGTTCTTCTGCCAGGCGTTCCCAGCAGACCCTCACTATGCGTTTGGGTCTGTCAGGTCTACGCGGCGTCTTCCCCTGCCATCTGATCCAACTCACCACCAGGTGGTGATCAGTTGACAGCTCCGCTCCTCTCTTCACTCGGGTGTCCAAAACATACGGCCGCAGGTCAGATGATACGACTACAAAGTCTTATCGACCTGCGACCTAGGCTGCCGTGGTACCAAGTGTACCGATGGGCATCCTTATGTTCAAACATGGTGTTCGTTATGGCCAAACTGTGGCTTGCACAGAAGTCCAATAACGAAACACTACTCGAGTTCAGATCAGGCGGGTCATTCCTCCCAATCACACCCCTCCAGGTCAAGCTGTCATTGCCCATGTGAGCATTGAAGTCCCCCAGCAGGACAATGGAGTTCCCTGATGGAGCACTATCTAGCACTCGTCCCAGGGACTCCAAAAAGGGTGGGTACTCTGAACTGATATTTGGCCCATAAGCACAAACAACAGTCAGGACCTGTTCCCCGACCCGAAGGTGCAGGGAAGCTAACCTCTCGTCCCCCGGGGTAAACCCCAACACACAGGTGTTGAGGGTCTGACCTCATGAGGAAATTACTATGCAGTGATTTTCTCCAAAATGACTGTGCTTAAATTGCTCTGAAAAGCAAATAATCACATCAGCGCCAAGAAACTTCATTTCCCATGATGCTTTGCACACGGAAGCATCGTCACCGCCTAGTACCAGAAACACGTTCTGCGCATGTGCGGGAAGCCGTGGAGCTTTTCCCGCGAACTAAGACCATAAATCTTCAGCAGAGACAAAGAATCCTCGTTCTTTTGCCCAGGATACCTGGCGGTAAGGACACGCTTGTCAACGCTCCGACAACTTGAGCACGCGGAAGCTCTAAGTGCCAAGTTGAGCCACGCAACCGCTGGAAACTACACTCAACTCCATCGGGACCTGACTGGGAACGAGCGGAGCTCCATTCAGCTCTCAGAGACGCTCCGTGGAGAAACACTCGTGGAGCCAAACAACGGAGAAAGCATTAAACCGACGGATGACGCTGAAAACTGCGGAGAAAACGGAGAACCGTCAAATCATAACAGCGGGGACGCCTTGCTGCTTTGGTGATCAGAAAACTCATTTTTTTCTCTCTCCTTTTCTTCTCCCGTTTCCTCTATAGTCCAGAATAAGCAATAAAACCGCGCTATTGCTTAAAAAGTAGCTTCGTGTTTTCCTCTTTCGCTCCCAATTCGTCCTTCGGGTCATTTTGAAAGAATAAACTGCTTATTGATCATTGTTTGGTATCTTAAAATGGTTTCTGTCATGGCCAGGCTGAAACTAAAAGATATTAATTTGTGATTAATCTTTTGTGTTGTTTCATGATCTTTTGAAATGTTTTGAGTGATTTAAGGTTAAGTTACTACTGATTCTAAGTGCTTTGGAAGTTAAAGTGCAAGTTGCCACCCACACTTTAGCCAGACAAAGGGGTCAGCCATCTTGTATTCAAGACTCCATTTTGAATCCATACACACACACACACACACACACACACACTACTCCTTTGTGAGAACAAAGGACCCCATTCATACATCCTCCATCACATGCAAACACATCCATCTTCAATCATATCACACGGTTATTATTCATCTATTCCACTGTTTATTCATTTGACAAATTGTTAATTAAATGTTATAAA